CTTAGGGCTTTGGGTTTAGGGTTTGGGGTTTAGGATTTAGGATTTAGGGTGTAGGATTTACGTAGGGCTTAGGGTTGAGGATTTAGGGTTTAGGGTTTAGGATTTAGGGTTTGGGGTTTCGGGTTTAGGGTAGGGCTCAGGGTTTGGAGTTTCGGGTTTAGGGTTTAGGGTTTAGGGGTTGCAAAGATCCTTTTCAAGCCACCAAAACCTACTTTGTTGTAGGGGCCTTGTAAATCCCCTTTTAGGGTGTGAAATGCGCCCTCTGAAGTACGATTCTGAGACTGTGGAGGTTCTGTTTGAGGTCTAGGGTTTAGAGGTTCAGGGTTTTGGGTGTAGGGTTCCGGGGGTTCGCAGTTACTTTGGGGTTGAGATTTGGGATGGTTAATGGTTGAGGGCTTCAAGAAAACATTGCTGTTCAAACAAGGCAGTATACAATCAAATAGGCTTCAGTCTTCAGGGGTTTAGGATTTTAGGGAGTGCACAAAGTCCAATGGAACGTAACGTGGTACAATGCAACGTGATGCGGTGAGCGGGCCCTCCTTGTTTTGACCTTTCGGCAGACTTACATGATGTTAGGATCACGTAAAAATTCCCATGGAGCTGAATTTAGACAGATACCTTGCCATGATTGAACGCTAAATGAATTCTCAAGCCCAACTCCTAAACCCTGGACGTGTGCCCTGAGCTCCCGAAAGTCTGGCTTCTCCTCCGCTGAGTTCGCAAGATAACCCAAGATCAGATTGAAAGCGCTTACCCAGATGCCCTTGATCAAACAGTATACCAGTAAATGATAATAACACTATGGATCCTCCTTTTGAACATTATAGTTTTTCATTAAGGTGTTTTGGTAGGGTTTTGGGTGGCTTCAGACGGTAGATCTTCTTGCTAAACCCAGAAATCCCAGACTCCTGAACTTTGCAAGACTTTAACACCGAGCGCCCCAACAAGAACCTGTAGTATACCAATTCTAAATCACGTATCATGCTATACCATAATATACTACGATATACCATGGTTTGGGTGGTTGTCTAAATTAGGGTCCCTTTTAGGGTCCTTTTTATAAGGGTGCCGTACTATATTGGGGACCTAAAAGGGGCCCTAAATAATGTATCATGCTATACCATAACATACTACGATATACCATAATGATATTAGGACATGGTTGAATTGTACTATAATTTTTCCCGGAGAAGAGTCAAGCCCCCGAACCTGTAGGGAAAAAGAGAGAGCTTTGAGCTTACTGGGCTTCTACGTTCGGTTTGCATCAGGCAGTTTGAGCTTCTTTGCGTTTTTTTAGGTGTTTTTTGGTTTGGGTTTAGGAGTTTCAGGGTTTTGAGGTGTTAGGCTTCAGGATTTCGGCGTATTAGGTGCTAAGGTGCAGGGTTTAAGATTTTGGGGGGAGAGAGACTACAGCCCCTTGCCGTCGAAGGTCACAGGAACGCTCCATGTGGATCCAGCAGACCTTTGAGAGTGTGGTGCTCCTTGAACAGCCGCGAACTCGGTTCAGGGTCGTTTGAGGGCTGGAGCCGTAATCCACACATAGCCACGTGAGCCGTGCAAAACAAGGACTTAGAGGTAGGTATTTGATGGCTTCGGTGCTGTTTGTGACAGCGATTTTGAAGGTTGGAGTGAAAAGGGCGGCCAAGTGTTGTGGCTATGACCTCTAAGCCCGCCAAAAACGCCACTGTTCAGGGTTTAGGGATCAGGGTTTAGGGTTTCTAGGGCCCCTGCTTGACGGCGACATTCTCGGCTAAGTATGCACCCCGTGCAATATAGGGGTCAGAACACTTGGTAATAGTATTTCCTTGTAGTCCACGGATAATTGTACCGAAAACCGTTGTTCCAAGCATTAAGGCCCGTGCATTACACCGGCGCTTAAACGCGGAGCCAGAGACCGGAAGCCAAAGCTGACAACGCTCCCACGCTCACGGGTTTAGGTCTTCAGATGCTTGGGTGGTTTCAAGTTTGGAGTTGGATTTTTTTTGGATCCAGGGGAAGGGCTTGATTGATTTACATGCTTCCTTGTCATCTTTTGCCCTAAACCCTGAGCCCTAAACCCTAAATCCTAAACCGTTTAGCCCCAAGCCCTAAAGCCTCACCCGTCCCTGAAACCCAGCGCTGTCAGGTATCCACGCTCCCAGATCCGCCTCTACGTGCAAATCTTGCAGGCATGCCTTGGGTTTGATAGGGTTTCATAGGGCGTTTAAACAAAGGTTCAGTGTGGTTCTATAGGGTGTCTGTAGGGTTCAAGATGGTTCTTGATGATTCTCGAGGATCGTTGAACAGGCCTAAAGCATTTCATAGGGTTTGACTAGGGTTTCACGGAGCCTCTGTGTAATCAAGTAGGGTTATTGGAGGGTTCTATCAGGTTTGGAGCGTTGGCCCCGAAACCTTGGGAACCCATTTGTGGAAGCTGGGTTTAGGGTTTAGGGTTTCGTGTCAACAGGCGATTGCAACACAGCCAGCCACCTCGAAGCTATGCGGGTGGGTGGTTGTAGAACCCCGTACAGTGTTTTTAGCAAAGTTCAAAGGTCCTAAACCCTACGCCCCAAACTCCTCAAGCCCCCAACCCCCCTTAAACCCCATACCGTGGCTAGACCCGAAAGGCCCCCAAGCCCTGAACCCTAAACCCTAAACCCTAAACCCCAAAGGCCCCAAGCCCGGAAAGCCCTTGAGAGCTCCGACGGCCAGGCCGAGGGGAGCTCCATGGCAGCGGCGATCAATGCGGCAACTGGGAGCGCAAAACGTTTTTTGGGGTCTTGGGTTTAGGGTTTAGGGTTTTGGGGTTTAGGGTTTAGGGTTCTTGGGTTTAGGGTTTGGGGTTTTTGGGTTTGGGAATGTATGAAATGGTTCAGAATGGTGGGTTTGCGGGGTTTGGAGTATCGGCTGGCTTGTTGGATCAGCTGTTCTGACTACGCGATTACGCTTGTTGAGGCTGTCTTCATTAGCACTTGCTTCGCGACTGCACAGCTGCAGAAGCAGCGTAAAGGAACCTGTTCTTGTGCCCTCAAGCCCTCAACCTAAACCCTAAACTCTAAACTCTAAACCCCAAGCCCTAAATCCTAAACCCCCAACCCTAAACCCTAAGTTCTACACCTAAAACATGTTGAGAACCCATCGCAAGCCTTCGGCCTGCTTGGAGGCAACGCTAGCGCTTGCAGATGCCGGCATTCCGATGCGGGATCTTGTTGCAGCATGCACTGCGGGACTGCCGGGACCCTGGCAGTGCTCGACTCTGATCGTGCATGGGTTCGAGCGCTTCGGATATGCCTTTAGGGCTTTGAGATTGAAGGTTTTAGCTCGGCCGTTCCAGTGTCAAGAGTCCCTCCCGAGCATTTGGGCCCCTTTGTGCTTCTTGGGGCACAAGAAAGGCTTACAGTCCCGCAGGGCGTAAGGGTTTTAAGATTCCAATGATTAGCTTCTGCAATTAAGTGCCCTGAGCCTGCAAAGTGCGCCATGGTCGTGAGGTAGACCAGGTAGAGCTGACCTTGTAAAGCGTTATTGTAGAGCCCAGATCGACCCCTTATATAACTTATATAGAACCCCTAAAAAACAGCCTCAAGAATGGAAGCCCCCGAGCTCTCGCCTGCGGTGGGCGCGCTGCTGGACGACGGCGACATCGAACACGTGCAGAGGACCTTTGCCAAAGTGGCCGTCGTGGGTGCAGAGGCGACCGGCCGCATGCTCTTCGGCCACATTTTCCGCATTTCACCTGAAGTCAAGAAACTCTTCTCTTTCGCCAGGGACGAGGAGACAATGTGGCTGCCAGGAAGCCGCTTAGAGAAGCATGGTGCCAGGGTGGTGAACACCATGGCAGTAGCCGTCTCCTTGCTGGATGACCTAGAAACCTTAGAACCGGAATTGGAGAAGCTGGGCGTGCAGCATGTGCGCTACAAGGTTCTCGCCTGTCATTACGATCTCGTAGGCCAAGCCTTCATCGCCACCTTGGAGGATCTACTCGAGGCGGAATTTACAGAGGCCTTGAAGAGCGCCTACCAAAAGGTCTGGAGCTTTCTTCAGAACACCATGATCGCAGACAATTACACCTGGTGAGCAAGGCTCAGGCAGCCTAAGGCTCCTTGTGTGTTAAGGTGCATCGAGAGAGGTTTGCAAGAAGCAGGAATGCTTTGCGCCGCAGAATTTCGTAGCAGCCCCGCATCTTTGTGACTGAAGGGCAACAAGTTTTAACTCTGCCATGCGAGCCTTTTGTCCGGCCATTGGCGATATTCTGGCACGCCTTGCTACGATCAAAGATCTAGCAATGCGGAGCAGCCTGCAGGAGCAGTTGCCAAACACGCTAGACTTTCAAGGGAGCTGGTGAGTTGTGGGCAGTGATAGAGACTCCGAAGCTTCCGAACTCGAATCCCCCCCAATCTGCTGGCTTCGGAGCATCTGCAGGCTGCTCTCCGCCCACAGTAGGACGAAGGGCGGTGCACGGCGGGAAAGAGCGAATTTTGGCCCCTCCTGGACGATGCAGTTACATGGGTTTCCATCTTACTTCTACATGGGCCATCCATCTCTGCAGGATCCCGAAGCAATAGAATCTTACACTGAGCCCTTGCCTACACCTCTTTAGAGGACCTTTTAAGAGAGCCATAAGGAGGGTTAAGAAGGGTCCCCTTTAAGGGGTCTCCCTAATACTGCCTAGGACTTTAAGAATGCTTCTAGCGCTGGAGCCCCAAACCAGGCGACAAGTTTTCTTCAACTCAGGGGTTTAGGGCTTGGGGTTTTGGGTTTTGAGTTGAGGGTTTTAGGGGTTTAGGGATTTTGGTTTAGGGCTTAGGGTTTAGGGCTTAGGGTTTTGGGTTTATGCTTTAGGGCTGAGAGTTTAGGGTTTGGGGCTTATGTCAGAGGGGTCCGCACTAGTAATGGTAAGGATGCTATATGGGTAGTTCTCTAAATTGGGGTCCCGTTTAGGGTCCTTTTTATAAAGGTGCCGTCGGGTGCCGTACTCTAATGGGGACCTAAAGAGGGACCCTGATTTAGAGAACTACCCATATGAGTTTCTGTCCAAAACCACAAGAACCTTACCGGCCCGTGGGTGTCAGCTCTTCCTTCTGAACCTTGATCCCTACAACCGCGGACCATTTCAAGCATGTTTTTTGACGTAGAAGCCTAAAGAGTCAGCATTCGCACGCCCTGATGGTCCCTCATACTAAATGGCCATTGCCCAACATTTCCCCCAAACCCTTTTCCAAAATACTAAGGCCCCAAGAACCCTAAACCCTAAACCCTAAACCCTAAACCCAAACGTTTTTCCAAAATACTAAGGCCCCAAGAACCCTAAACCCTAAACCTTAAACCCTAAACCCTAAACCCTAAACCTTAAACCCTAAACCCCAAACCCTAAACCTTAAACCAAATACTAAGGCCCCAAGATTAGACAAAGTCCTCCGACTTTTGAAGTTGCCAGGTTAGGCCGGAAGCCGGCTATCGACCTCAGCAGAGAGGACGCTGGAACGTAGGGTTTAGGGTTTAGGGTTTAGGGGGGTTTTCCGGATTTACACTCGGTCGTTGAGCCGGGGTTTAGAGTTTAGGGTCCTCCCCAACCGTGATTGAACTGGGTTCTGTGGGGGTTTAGGTTTTGGGGCAGTAGGGTTTTTTTTGGTATCGGGGTTTAGTTTGGGGAGGGAGTATGGAGTCTAGACGATAGACAGAGTTCACCCTTAGACCCAGGATCCCGATGAAAACGAAGCATCCAGGATTGTTGCTCATGTTCTTACGTTTAAGTTTACCATGAGAATGTGTCGAGAAAGCAACAAGGTCTCCTGCGTTTTTCGGTAAACTTGAGTTAAGGTCCTGAGCAAGAACACAGCAAGGCAATGCCCTAGCCGCAGCCACCCTTTACCACCAGGGTTGCATCGGGGGATTAGACTGTTGTTAGGCTTGAAGTTTAGTTAGGGGTCAGAATTTAGTGGAGCATGGGCGTCGTGGTAGCTGTGGTGGGCAGCGTATGACGGGCCAGTCGGCTTGTGCCGATGATGTTATTCCCCACCATCATGATGAACTCAGTGATGTTACGGAGGGTGAGGGTGGTGGTGGTGGTGGTGGTGGTGGTGGTGATGGACGTGGCGGCAGCGACGGTGGTGGTGGTGATGGCGGCAGCAGTGGTGTGGGCGGTGGTCATTGGGGCTGCTGCTGCTGACGATAGTGATGATGAAAACTCGACACGATGAGTATGATCAATATGATGATGAGAACATAGGGTGCAGTCAAAGACGATGAAGATGAACATGCCCAACTCCTGGACAGTATACTGGTGTTGCCGATGACGACAATGCGACGATGAAGGTTGCGATTGTGGTGACGACGATGGCGACTGCGACGGCGACAGTGATGCCGATGCTGAACGACACGACAGTGACGACGACGTGCAGATCCCAAACCGCAGCGGCACCACCAGCAAACACAGTATATATTTTTAGTATTGTCAATATGAGTATGATTATCATCCTCATCGTCATCACCATCTTCGTGATCATGCATAGCAGCATTATCACCATCATCATCATCACCATCATCATCATCATCATCATCATAATCATCATCATCATCATCATCATCATCATCAATCATCATCGCGATCAGCGTTGTCAACGGAGACGGCCACCGCGATCGATACAGCTGTTGCAATGAAGAGGTCCCGAAAACCGCTTGTGAAACTCTTATAGAACTCTTACTTGTAGGGCCCTTGCAGAATCGGCCCTAAACCCTAAACCCTAAACCCTAAACCCTAAACCTTAAACCCTAAACCCTAAACCCTCGTATAGCATCGCGAGGTTAGACGCCTTTATAGAACCGCCAAAAAGGAGGAGCAGTCCGGGAGTGCTGCCATCCTCCTCGCCAGCCTCACCGGCGCCCGTAAAGCAACACTTTTGGAGGCCTTTTTAGGGTTCAGGGTTTAGGGTTTAGGGTTTAGGGTTTAGGGTTCAGGGTTTAGGGTTTAGGCTTCAACTAAAGGTTTTGAATGGGTTTCGAAGTTTCTACAAATATAGGTTTGCAGGTTCGTATATGGGTTTTCGGGGTTTCTACAGGGTCTTGCAGTCAAAAACATGCTCTTGTACTGTTTTATAAGTTTTGCATCTGGCGTTTAAGCGGAGTGGTAACAGCGCCTTTTCGGGCTTTCGAAAGCCTGCACCAGGTTTTCAGAGTTTAGGGCTCCGGCTTGTGAGTTTCGGGCTAGGTTCAGGGTCATGGGGTTTAGGGCTTCAGGGTATTCGGGTTCAGGATGTTGGCGGCTGTCCATCTTGGCCTAAGAAAGACCATGTAAGTGTTGTTACTGCTGAGGATGTGGGTGGTAGGAACTGTGACTGCCATTTGATCCTGGCAATGCTCCTGTTTGCGGTGAGTCATGCGGCCATGATGATGCTGATGTCGTACAGATTTATGCTTCAAGACATCTGTAAAGGCCTTACAAGGCCCGTCGCAATCCCAATATAGAGGCCCTTAGCAATTGCAACAAGCTTGAGGGCGAATCATGCGATAAGTATAGTTACTGTATAGTTAGACAGGAACATGCAGTGTTGCAGGAGCCATAAGAGATATGGCTACCCTAAACCGTAAACCCGAAACCCTAAACCCTAAACCCTAAACCCTAAAACCCTAAACCCACCCTAAACCCTNNAACCCTAAACCCTAAACAGGCCCCTGTAGCAGAACGCGGCTGCTTCCTCTGATCCCATGACAGGTGGAGTCCAAGGTGCCGGACGGCCAGTTTGCCCCACTCTATGAGATGGCGCTGCAAGGCGCCCACCTCTAAGTATGAGGTTGAGGGGTTTAGGGTTTGGGGTTTACGATTAGGAGGTCTGGAGGTCTGGTTAAGGTGCACTTACATAGCCTTGAGACCGTCTAACTGTGCACACCGTGTTGTTGCTAAAAGCTGCTCCACTCGCGGCTTAAGAGTGCAAGGTTGATCTGTGTAATCACCGTATGTGGAGATTTGATCGGGCCCCTAATCAATCGTGGCTGGTCCCATAAAAGCAGCAGCAAGCTGCAAAGACTGTTATTATAAAACCGTCAAACTCATTGAATCGAACCCAGAGATCGAGAACACAGCGCACTTTCTCATGGATGTTTAGGGTTCAGGCTTTAGGGTTCGGGCTGATTACTACAAGCTTACCCTCAAGATTCCTAGGCGCTTCCCGTTGACATTTCGAACGTTCCTGTAAGATTTCTACCAGGTTTCTATAAGCTTACGAGTGCCATAGGACGTCTGAGGCTTTGCGTGGAGGTTTCAGCGGCTCGACTCTGTCCCTCATTCAAACTAACATGAACGGTTTAGGGTTTAGGGTTGAGGGTTTAGGGTTTAGGGTTTAGGGTTTAGGGTTCAGAAGGGGGCACGTTCTGGACTAGTGTTCCTTTTTCGGGGGTGGAGGGGGCGCAATGGGGTTCCAGGGAAGCTTCCAAGGTGCGTAGACCCAAAAAGCCCAAGACCCGAAAGCCTACTTGGAGGATCATGGGGCTTAGTAAGTAAGGTTATGAGTCCCTTAATTGGGGTTATAAGTATAGTTACCCTAATTATAACCCTACTTACTAAGTCCCATGATCCTCCAAGTAGAGGCTGCAGATTTGGGGTGTGGGGTTTTGGCAGAAATGAAGGGACCCTGACATGCAACCCCAAGTAGGATAGTTGCAAGGATTCGTAACATACAATGCACTTAAAAAATTCAGAACGCTCTTGGCCCACTCCTATAAAACAACCCACAGACGCCCTGTACAATCCGATCCGTAGCTTCCGTTCTCCTTTTGCGCCAAGCGGACGCAGCCCAAAACTTTCAGTACGGGAAATCTCCCGGAGCTCGAAGCACCTATTATAGGGGCCTCAATAATTACCTGTATTATTTTTGAGGGTTCCTTATTGTAATTATACTATAAAGGACCCCCAAGCCCCATTCTAATTATTAAGGCCCCGACATTCAGCCGGGCGATGTCAGAAAGCCCTAATTTGGAGCCTGGCACCGATGTGTAGAGGTCTCTGACAGAAAGGAAGCCCAAGTAGCCTTGACAATTTCTCTACAACCCCATGATAGAAGTCGCTACAAAGCCATTCTAGA